AAATGTTTTGCAATTTTAAATTTTATTCCCTCTACAATGTTGAAGCAAGCAGAGCAAGTTTTTCAAGTTGTTGCTGCGCTAACAAATCTTTAACACCCACTTATTCATGAAGTTGAAAACAAAATGGTACATCCAAGTTAGTCTAGTCTAAAACCGCCTGTTCAAAATCTTTTATTTTATAATAAAATAATATTATTAATTGACATTTTGTAACTTAACTATTTATTTGTTTAATACATTTTATGTAATTGTAAATACTAAATTATCCTGTAAATATATAACTTTAAGTACGATTAATTAATATGTTAAAAATTATGTGCTTAAATTGTTCGTTCATAAGAAAAGGAATGTAAGTCTCAATAAAAAATTTTTCTAATATTTTAAGATTTGGAAACCATTCTGGATCCTTTTCTACTTCGGTAATTATTGATTGACCTGGCGTCCAAATTACTAGGTAACATAACTTTCGTTTAGTTATATATAGTTGCCCTTGAATTTGATCCCAATAAAAGTGTTTTTGTAATGTAAATAATTTTTGTTTTTTTATATATACTATGTAACTGAGTCTTTGGCAAGCTCAACATCTAAACTTTTATTCCGGTACTTCCATGGACATATTACCTCTACAATGTACTCAGAATTTACAAAGCCATCGGGAGATGCTCCTAAAACTCCATTATTTAATAACCATAATCCAGTAGATATAACTTTAACATTTTGTTCTTGCTCTAAAACTTTGATGCCTGATATTTCATTTGTCAATCCCCATTGAATAGCATGAATACCACTTAAATTAGTATCATTTTGTAGTGACTTGAAGAAAGATTTTGAAAATTTTTGTTTTTTGCAAGAAGATAAAATGTGACCAAAATGACTAGCGGTTAATCTGTTCTTTCGGTGGTAATGCCACATTTCACTTTTGCTCTGACCTATAGATTCTTCAGCAATTTTCAAAATAATATCATCAGTTATAAAACATATGTCCAATATATAAGTTCTAACTGCATCAAATTGCTTAGCTTTTACAAACTGTTTAAAACATCAGTATTTATTGTACTCTCAATAGAATTCAATTTAATAGCTTGACATTTGTTTGGTTCTAGTTCTGGTTCAGGCCTTAACAACCACGAAAAACCTACAGGCACAGTTAAATTATCTAAAGTTTTTTTTAAAATTAGCAAAATCTTCATCTGCGACATCAGTAGCAGGACTTTCAAAACGACCATACATTTCACCAATAGTTTTTACTTCATTACATGGTATATTTTTCCTAACATTCCAAGAACAACTTTGATCTGTGGAACTAAGTTTATAGTGCGTGTATAGTGCTTAACGCAGCTATATGGTGGCAAACTACTTTTCCACGAGGACATGTACACTCAGCGTCAACAATACAACAGTCATTCAACAATAATTTTACCTTGTACTTATCATTCCGCATGCTAGGCTTGATTTCTCCAACAATTATATTTGATTCAAGATCAGCTTGAATTTTTAAGACATGACCATCTTTATACGCTATTTCTCCCCTTTTTAATTGTTTAATATTATCTTTAAAATACTCTGAAATCGACGAAATTGATAAAATATGATTTCCAGCCATAACGTTTAAGAAATAATATACTAAACACTAAAATATCCAAGCTTATTATAAAATATAAACCGTAAATAAATTGTTGTGCTAAATAACAGACTAAGGGCCAAAACCTAAACGTTAGAGAGTTTAAAGAGTAACGACTTACATACTACAGTAGTACATACATATTAATTATTAAATGTACCCTTAACAATTTTAACATAACATAATATTGTTTGGATCCAGTTACAAAAACTGATAAGCGTTAATAACGAATATGACGTCATGCTATCCGAGCGTATTGAGAATTTCCATGAAGTGTTAAAACAAAGAGCTTCTACAGAAAATTTGTATGACGAAGAAGCAAGAAGGTAAATCACTTTAGTTTAGTTAACATTTATAACAATTTGTTAATATTATTATCAATTTCATCTGAAACAGGTGTAACGTGGTCGGGGATGACCCGTTAAATATAAGATATTCAGGGAAGAAATTAATTCTTTTGAATATATTTTTACCGTAGCTCGGGAGCACGAATGGTATTCTGCCCTGCTACCAAGAATTGCAGTAACTCCAAAAAGTGAGAGGTTGGGAAATCGTGTTTAAAGGTTTTTTTTATTTTTGACCCAGAAGTTATTATTTTTTAATGATTTTTTCTATAAATCATTTTTCATAGATGTTCTAGTTATGTGTTGATATATTTTTTTTGTACTTTATTCATTTTTTGTATGTTTTTTACAACTTTTAAACATATTATAGGAGTTACTGCATTTTTACTTAGGAAATAACCCACATTAAATTTACAAAATGCAGTAAATCCATTCCTATGATTCTTAATTTTTATATTATGTGCACTCTGCAGCCTTCTACTGAAATATTAAGTTAAACTAAAATATAAAGTTGATTAAGGTAATAATCTTTTCTCAGTAAAAAAAGCCTATTAATTATTTTTATAAAATTAATTAATTACCCAAGTACAGGAAATATAAATACTAAGATATCATAATTATACCTAATAAAAGTATATTATAGATTGATTGATTTTTTTTTTTTTTTCTTATGAATCGCAGTCAGGGAGGGAAAGAGGTTTCCCCATTACTGCCTCCCTGGCCACATCATTTATTGATAATAACAATAACAATACATTAAATAATTACAAAATTATTAGGTTAAATAATTACAAAATCTGGGGGCCTCTAACCACCCTGGTTGGCCAGTTCAGCCCACAACGATTAACTTAACTAATTATACTCGACGTTGACGCTGTCTCTCCAGGTCTTCATTCTCAGCCATAATGGTCTCCACCATCTGCAGAAACAACTACTTATGTCTGATTGAGGCATCAATTAACATTCTTCTCATGGCCGGTTCTTCCGGGAGCTCTTGTGGAACAGGGGCGCACAGGAGGTATTGCACGTCTTCGGGACCAACTGGCTTCCTTAACGCCGCAGCAACATCAGCTCTTGCTGCATCCCAAAATGGACAGTTGAACACTGTATGTTCGACGTCGTCGAAGACAGCCGGACAGTGCACACAGCCCGGGTTTGTGGCTATCTTTTTCCTCCACAGATAGTCTTGGAAACAGCCATGACCCGTTAGGACTTGAGCCATGTGGTAGCTGACTTCCTTTGGTCCTTGAAACCACCATCTTCGAAGGTTTGGAACGTGGTACTTCGTCCACGCTGCTTTTTTGGAGGCATCCCAAATCGCCTGCCAACGACCGATCGTGTCCTCCTCTTTTTGTTGCGCTGTCATGATCGCTCCTTCTTTCCTGAGAACCGTGACTTGTTTGCACACAGCAGCTTGTACTGTAATCGGTGGCATCCTATCGAGGACTAGCGCGGCCATGTCCGACACCGTTCTATAGCATCTCGCTACTTTGAGGGCAGCACATCTGAAGCATCATTTTTTGGTACTTCGCCACGTGCTGCACCTCGTCTGCCCAGACAGAGGCACCATACAGCAGACGACTGTGGACAACACTCATCAGCAGGCTACACTTACACTGGGCTGGACCACCTACGTTGGGCATTAGCCTGCCAAGTGCCGAAGCTGCTTTCCTCGCACCCGTCGTCACCGCCTCCACGTGAGTGCCGAATGATAGGCGAGTGTCCAGCTGGACGCCCAGATATCTTACTGCCCTTTTAACCGCTACAGGGCATCCATCAATGTACAGCGCAGGATCGCGGCATGCGCGTTTATTTGTCAGTACCACACATTCTGACTTTTCAGGGGCCTAACCTAACCTCGGCGCAGTCTATTTTCGGCCATCCACTCGCAAATCATTCTCAGAGCAGGGTTTACTATTTGCTCAGCCAGCTCCGCATTGTGGGCCACCGCCACCACCACCACATTATCCGCGAACGCGACGAGTTTAATTCCATCCGGCATTGGAAGCCTGAGTACGCCATCATAAAACAGGTTCCATAGAGTTGGACCCAGCACCGAGCCCTGTGGTACGTCACATGTAACGGGGAGGCGGTCGTTCTCACCGACTAGCAGTTCCCTGTTGTCCATGTAAGATCTCAGGATGCTAATGAGGTACTCAGGAGTCACACAGCGACGTAGAGCCTCGTCGATTAGCTGCCACGGAGCAGTGTTAAAGGCATTTTTAACGTCAATAGTCACCAATACACATAGGTCCCTTTTTTGAACAGCGCCACTGCCCGCAGCCCTGGCTGCGCTCAGGACCTGGTGAACGGCATCCATAGTAGACCTCGACCGCCTAAAACCAAACTGCAGGTTGCTCAGTGCGCCGACACTATCGATGTGGGGAATCAGCCTCTCCAGTACCTTGCCCGAGCCGTCCAATAAGGTAATTGGACGATAGCTCGACTGTACATCTCTCGGTTTCCCACTGCCTTTGTATAACAGCACCAGCCTAGCGCTTTTCCAAGGCGTGGGGAAAGTCCCCTCCGAGAGGCAGGCGTTATAGCATTCCGTGAATACCACCGGAAACTTCCTGAAGGCTGTTTTAATCATCTCGTTGGGGATGGAGTCTGGTCCAGGTGCCTTGCCCATCGGCAACTTATTGACGACCAGAGCCACTTCATCAGCAGTAAACAGCGGTATACCTATCGGTTCGTCAGGTAGTATAGCATAGGTGGCCGTGGCTTCGCCTGCTATGGGTATGCTTCCCCAATCCGTCCTTGGTGTTGACGGGAAGAGACCACGAGCCACGTATAATCTGTCCGATTGATCCATGGCCGGCGATCGGCGGCCTAGTCTTTTAGTAACCAGCCTGTAGGGGACTCCCCAAGGGTCGTTGTCGACTGACCGGCACAGCTCCGCCCAGCTTTTTTCCTGGACCTTGCGAATCTCCTTCTTCAGGTCCAATCGTGCTGTCTTATACGCCTCGAGTTCGGCCTCACGAGTTCCCCTCCCCGATCTTCGGCCGGCACGCTGGTATTTCTTCCTCGCAGCAATGGCAAGCCGGCGAAGCTCAGCGATCTCATCGCTCCACCAGTGGACCGCTTTCCTGCCTTCGAACGCCGACCTGGGTGGCATTGAGGCGTCACACAAGGCGGAGAGTAGGTCCTTGAGTCGCTCTGCATGCACCGAAGCAGATGCGTTGATCGATAAAGATCTTGGTGTACCAGACAGTTCAAAGAACAATTCAGCCGCAGCCGGATTGAACTTTCTGACTGACCAGCCCGGTGCCCCAGATCTCGATGGCCGGCTCGCAGTGTTCTGTATTGGTCGGGGCGATACGTGGAATTCTATGTAAGAATGATCAATCGCTGAGAAGACATCCTCAAGCACCAACCAGTCGGTGATAAGCTGGCGGCTTATCGTGCCAGTGTTACGTCGATGATAGAGGCTGCATTGGCCCGGCTGTATGTAGTCCTAGTGCCGACATTGCGGACCGTTAGGCCCAGCGACGCAGCAAGGTCCGACAGCATGGAACCTCTAGAGTCCAACCTCACAGAGCCCCATTCCGGGGAGTGGGCATTAAAGTCCCCTGCAACGACTAGGTTCGCTGGCACCCTTGTCTGTTGCGAAATCGAGAGCTCAATTCCGCCAAGGAATATATCGTACTCCTGGATTAAGCAATTCGGGGTACAGTAGCAACTGTACAGTAGGACATCATTCAGCCACACCTAGACGAAACTTGTGCCCGCTCCTTGTACATCGAGGGTCACGTCCGAGGAGTTAGGTGCGAACACGGCGCATTTTCTATCAAGGCTTTCGGCCCAGTGTTTAGAGTCACCCATCGAGCGGTTGTGCTCGGATAAGACTGTGATGTGCGAGCCACGCTCAGCCATCGTTTGCAGGAGTAACTGCTGGGCCGTCTAACTTTTGTTTAAGCTTCTGATCCGCCATCCTAACTCGGCAGCTAATCATGCCGACGCGTAGCCGCCCGGAATTAAATAGTTCACGTGCGGGTCCAACCGGTAGCAATACCAACGCCGATTGGGAGCCCCCGAATCCTTTTCTGAGGCTAAAAACTCTGATTTGCTCAGGTGGAGGGCCAGTGGCAGCACCCATAGCAGCGGCAACCTCTTCTGCCGTTTACCACTGATCAAGGTCCCTGACTTCAACCATAACTCGCTGCTGGAGTACGCGCACCTCCACTTCCGAGCCCGCGGAGCTGGAGATCTCTGACCGCACCGCGTCGAACCGCGCTTGGTCCCCTCGGATTTCTATGAGTAGGCCTCCCGATTTCACCTGCCTCATTCCCGTAATGCTATCACCGATTATTCCACGGTCGACGCCACCGCGAATCTTCTTGGCTAGCGCCGGAAAATCATCTGGTTTGACGTCGACAATAATTGCCTGAGGGCGTGCTCGAAATCGCGGTTTGGCGGGCACCTTATTCTCGACCTTTGGAACTCCCTTGGCTTGCTCACCCTGTGAGGGGGGTTCTTCATCTTCGTCGTCTTCCTCTTGACTACTTCCGTCCACGTTTGGGCGGCAGAACCGGATGCCAAATCCGGGTCATCCACCGGCGATTGCCGATTCTGAGTCCGTTTGGTCGGCTGCTCAGTGTCCCACCAGCACGGGGACTGGGTCTCCATGTCCGTAGTCTTCTTGTTAACCTGACCAATAGCCTTGTTCTCTTCCTCCTTTTTAAGTAGTCTTTTTACCTCATTGTATGATTGGATGACATTCCTATTGCTGCCTTCCAGGCCGCGCACAACTTCTAGCAATTCCTATACCGCCAGCTTGACTGTATCGGAGCGTATTTTGTCTTTTGTTGCTTCCAGCGCCTCTGCCTTGCTGAGCATCAGCTTGAAGCTACCATCATGAGTGCTGAGGCACTGCCCTAGTCTGCTAAAAGCCATGTACGGTCTCTCCGTTTGCCTCATGGCTGTGCCGGAGACGTATTACAGAGGGCCAAATCCGAGGGTATCGGCCCCTCGCTCTACGACTCTGGGTCCTTACCTTACTGTCCCCTTTCCCCTAACTTGGTTCCTGGGAGGCTAGGGGGTTCGGGTCTTCAGGACCGTATCTGGTACGGTCGTGGTAGGATAGTGGGGTTTGGGAGGGCAAAATTTTCCTACCGACTCTCTAAAATCAAACCCCGCCGAGTTATTGACAAAAAAAAACCGTTTTTGGGGGCAAATTCAATTTGCCGCCAAGGGACGGGTGACGCCGTCACTTGGGCGCCGACACTAGGTCACACCCCGCCGGCTAGTCCCCGTCGTCGTCACGTGACGACAGCTGTTCCCCAACGCGAAAACAGCTGTTCGTTTGGAATTTCCGTTTTCGCCCAGGCGGCTTTGGGCGGCCGTGTAATAGTATAGGGAGTACCCTTAAATCAAATTAACTCACTAAATAAATGTCGGACCTTGCAATTCCTGGTGTCCACGGATTCGTCGCCGCGAGCCGGGCACGCGGAGCCGCTGGGTGCGGTCGTCCGACTTGCCGTTCCTTTGTAAATCTTCCTCGACCGCTGTTGGTGGGGGGGAGTGTTTTCCCGACACCTGGGGGTCCAAAATGCACCGAACCCTTCGGGAGGGTACAGTGGGTCTTATTCGGGCCGACTCAACAACGACACCGGCCCGATCGCGCACTTTTTATGCAAAAAAAACTGTTACCTGCGTAACCCAGTAGCAATAGCGTCGTTAATAACGGAAAAAAAATAAGTTTTCTCAGCGAGGAGTTAACCGATTTTCCCAATGTTTAGACCGGTTGCTTCGAGAATTAAAGCTGCGTCGATTAAGACTGAACGCGCAAAACGGTTCGCTATTTCACTAGAAAAGAACGCGTTTGCACGGGAACGACTCGACAGTGCGTCCGTACGCCACGACTCTACACATGTACCTGATTTGTAAAGTTATTAGATAAAAACAATAATTAGTAATAAAACATTTTAAAACATAATTTCTTTATTTTCTGATTTTACATAAATCAATTACCTAGTTTTTCTAACTGTACACTTTTTTTTGTCATTGGTTTTAGTTCATCAACTGTTGTAGGAATTTGTGTAGCATCATAATTTAATTTTCTTCTAGGAACTGGACTTTATTTAACATTTTTAAAACGCGATGTCTAGAAGTCATTTTAGTAATTAAAATGTAAGCAATAAATCAGTCAATATATAAATTATTTAAAACCACATTCATTAAAAGATGTTCAACACAATATTACGAGGAAGTGTGGAACTCGTGTATCGACGACTCGTGTTGTTTTGTTAGCAACCGCCAAAACAGTGAGATAGTATCATCTTTGTAGGTTGTTACTTGTTAGGTTAGGAGTAATTAATCTTATCTAATCAAATACTATATTATTATGAAGTATAACCATGGTTAGAACTTAGAATTATCTTAATTCAAAGATCCTGAATACTATGTTATGTCAAAAAGTTATTGTATGGAGTTACGGCAAAGAAGCCATTTCAACACACAATATTACGAAGGCAATATGCAGTAAGAGCATGTAAAACTGCTAGGAATCCGATTCCTAAGAAATAATGCAGTAAATCCATAGACTTGCTGTTTTTGTTCTTATTATATGGCTTTACTGCACTTTTGCTTAGTATTTTACCTGAATTCCAGAATATCTTTGAAACAATAATCAATTTTCAAGGAGTTCATAGTGGTTTTTACTGCATTTTACCTTTAGTAAAAAAAGACGCGGGATATTTCAATTAATAAGAATATTATATAACCTCACTTTTCACAATTTTGGAGTTACTGCAATTCTTGGTAGCAGGGCAGTATTAGGATCTTAATATTACAAATAAATAACGATTGATCTAAATTATAATTAATACAAACAAATTATTTATTATAACTTACAATTTACGAACAAAGTTACCAAAAATGTAGGATTGTACGGAGTTCAGGTGCACGTGATGGACTCGCGGAGAACTGGCATTCTCTTACATAGGGATATTGGCCGGAGCCTTACAATCATAAAATATATATGTGTCACCTAAACCGGAGGGGCTTAATACATTATTATAGTCAGCGCATAATATGCCTTATGTGCATATTATGATGCTTATAAAATAAACGTAATGATGTAACATACGTTACACAGGCATATGGATGCAGCTGCATTGTACACATGGTCTACTGCTGAGTCTATCATGCGACATAGCAGACATTCCATGCCTGTAACACCAAATTGTTTAGTAGACTTGGTGGCACAATTTGAAAATGGAGAACTTCAACGTTATTCTTGTTGTAATGCTCCGTTTTTTAAGGCGTGTATACAAGATTTAGATGGTTGAAAAAACGTTGTTTTTGCCTGTACTAATTTGATACAAAATGTAGTAAGAGATGGCATTTCTGAAATACACGCAGATGCTACATTCATGGTGGTACCCAGAAATATGGGCTATCAATTGTTAACTATACATTGTATGATTCAGAACTATGTAAGACGGGGACGCGTAACAACCTGGAATGTTAAACTCTGGAATTTAAAACCTGGACTGTTATAACCTGGACCGTAATAATCTGGACCGGACAAAACTGTAAGTTAAAAATTTGAAATCCGTAATAATCTGGACCTTACCCACATAGCATTTTTCAATGTTAAAACTTATATAAACGTTGAGTTTTGGTTTAAGTTTAAAGGTGTACATATAAATATTGCATAACATTTTATTAAATATTTATTTTTAAATACTTAAAATAAATAAATTTTTAAAATATCAATAAACATTTAAAATAGATTAAATATTATATATTTAAAACTAAACTTTTGTTAAAGGCTTAACAAATGTATAAATTCTTACGTTTAACTAAAATTGTAGAAAATATATTTATTAAGCATTGACCATTAAACTACAATTAAAGATTGGCTTTTAAACATAGAATACACGTTTTTATTTAAATGGTAAATTTTAAACATTTATTAAAAGTGTAATAAAGTTTTATAAATATAGGGCTATAGCCTTTTTAGTTCTCTATTATTACATGGAGTAAAAAAAGTACATGTTTACACAGTGGGCTAAAAACAATTCTGGGGAGCCTACAGACCCCTTAGCCTCCCACCTTCTACGCTTAATATAATATGTACATTGTACAAAAATTAAAAATAAGAAAACATTTTAAAATTTTTAATTAAAAGTATATTGCTTTAAACTATAGAGTTACATACTACCATAACTTTGAAATATAATTAATTCATGTTCACATAGTTTTGCCCAATCATAGACAAGAGTTTTTTATTTTTATTTTTTGTTCTATAATCGTATGCGCTTTTTTTTGTTTATTCTTGTTTTTGATATACTCGTACATATATTATTGCAATATAAAATAACAATATTAAAATAAAAAGAAATCGAAAATATTGTACATTAACTTAGTAAAAACTTTGTGGGTACATTTTTATTTGAATTTATTCCGATTATCACAGATTATACAACAATAATATGTGGTCAGTACCTATAATATTTTGGTTTTTTAAAATAAAAATGCAAACCTATGATGTTGATTGTTGTTCACAATCATAGTCGCATATTTTATTGTTTTGTTTAAGTATTATGTCAATCGTAATAAAATATTATAATCCACCTGTATAACTATTTTTAGATTGCGTGATTTACTAGCTTATCTTTATTTTATTATAATACAAAACGACTTAATGTAAGAAATCGCGCGGTCCTGGTGACATATCGCGTATATTATACATACTATTATTTATAATTCGTGGTTCACACCATAAATTCGTTTTCGTTATGTTAATGTCTCGGTTGCCTGGCGCACCACTCCTCCACTGTATATAATATTATATCTATATAGTTATTATTTAGGTACCCAAAAACAAATATTGGTATTAGAAAACAATAATATTAAATTAGTAGGCTAAATTTGCAGTTAATAAAATACTAATTGGCGTTTGTAAAATATAAAATATTTTTAATTAATTTTAAAGTATACATACAATTGGTTTATAATAAAAATGTCAAATACTAGTACCTAAATGATATGTGATAACTTGTTAAAATATAAAACGTATAAAATACCTATAGAATATTTTATATTATACCTACATTAATGAATTTAAAAAGTATATGAAAAATTCAGACAGTATATTGTATAATAATAAACAGAAAATATAACAAATATACCTAAATAGTACCTACTTAACCATATTTTCATTAAAATAAAAACAGTATAAACATTAATTATTATAGACTGTTAATAACAGTCTGTTATAATAATATTAAAATTAACATAACATAATATTATAGCAATTACAAATATATTATGATGTAAAAATTACATTTTTAAACAAATTTAATATTTTATGTTATAAATTAAAATTTACTTTAAAAGTCTATACAGTATATAGACATATAGTATATATTATACAATATATAAGTTGGTACAGCTAATACATAAAACTAAACATGGAAATATAATTAAATTAAATTGAAGATACAGAAATTGCAATTTCATCAGAATAAAGTTATTGTTTAAATTATAATATAGCATAATATAGCATATATAATGAAGCAATTTGGAGAATTTTTGGTTTTCAAATACATGATCGATATCCAACTGTAATACATCTTTCGGTGCACTTGGAAAATGGTCAACGTATATTATACCAGTGAAAATATTCAAACAAAAGTTATAATTCCACCAGAAACAACACTAACAGTTTTTTTTAAACTATGTCAAATAGATAATTTTGCAAACACATTATTATATACAGATATACCGAAATATTATACATGGGATTGTAATTTGAAAAGATTTACTCGAAGAAAACAAGGAATGCCAGTTGATGGATTTCCTGGTATTCACTCAACAAATACTCTTGGCCGAATGTATACAATCCATCCAAATAATTCAGAATGTTTTTTTTTAAGAATATTATTACATAATGTTGTTGGTCCTGAAACTTTTCCAAATTTAAAAACTGTTGATAATATCGTTTTTGAAACTTATAGAGAAACATGTCTAAAACCCGGATTACTTAAAGATGATCAACACTGGGATGATGCGATGTTTGAAGCGAACGAAACCAAATCTCCAAGACAATTATTACTTTCTCTTTTCACAATTATCTTAACATCATGCAATCCATCGAATCCTCAATATCTATGGGAAAAGTATAAAGAAAGCATGAGTAAAGATATATTATATAGATGGCGTATAAGTAAAGATACCACTGAAATAGATTTTGATAATGAAATATTCAATGAATCATTAATCAAAATTGACGATGCTTGCGTCCTGGAAAAAATTTAAGACATTGGGGACTTACGTTACCCAACAGATCACAGCAAGATCGACTGAATAATACAGAAATCCGACGTGAAACATCTTATGATATTACCACTTTAAATGAACTTATCAACATTAATAAATCACTTTTAATAAATGAACAAAATTTAGCATATAATATAATCATGAGTGTCATTGAAAAAAAAGAATTTGGCGTTATTTTTGTAAATGCACCTGGAGGTACCGGTAAAACTTTTCTAATGAACCTAATACTAGCCGAAATCCGATTAGAAGGAGATATTGCTTTAGCAGTAGCTTCTTCAGGAGTTGCTGCGACTTTATTAGAAGAAGGTCGCACAGCGCATTCAATGTTCAAATTGCCTTTGAATTTGAATTCAGGAAAAGAACCCTTCTGTAATATTGTAGATAACCCAGGAACATGTGAACTGTTGAAAGAAACCAAAGTCATTATTTGGGATGAGTGTACTATGCTAAATAAAAAAGCACCCGAAGCTTTACATAAAACTTTACAAGATTTAAAAAATAATAATTATATAATGGGTAAGGTACCAGTTATATTAGCAGGTGATTTTCGTCAAACGTTACCAATTATACCACATGGAACACCAGCGGATCAAGTTGATGCATGTTTAAAAAACTCATATCTTTGGAATGATATTAAAATAATTACTTTAAAAACAAACATGAGAGTTTTTTTAACCGGTAATCCTGCATTGGAAATATTTTCTAAACAATTGCTGCAGCTTGGCGATGGAAAATGGCCAGTAAGTATGGCAGATGGAACCATTACATTTCCCTTAAATTTTTGTAATATTGTGAAAACAATTGATGTTTTAATAAATCTTTATATTATATTATATTAATATTATTATATTTCCCGATATACAAAAAAATCATGTAAATCAGGAATGGTTATGTGAAAGGGCTATTCTTGCACCAAAAAATACAAAAGTCAATAAACTGAATGAAGATATATTAAATTCACTGCAAGGAGCAAATATAGAATGTAAATCAATCGATAATATGTGTGATCCAGACAATGCCATTAATTATCCAATGGAGTTTCTAAATTCTTTTGAAATATCTGGTCTGCCACCTCATAAATTAATTTTGAAAACGAGCGTTCCAGTCATGCTTTTAAGAAATCTACAACCACCTATATTGTGCAATGGTACACGTTTATTTATAAAAACATTAAATCAGAATGTACTGGAAGCAACTGTATTAACTGGATATGGGAAAGGCACAAATGTATATATTCCTAGAATACCCATTAGGCCAACGGATCTACCATTTAAATTTGAAAGATTACAATTTCCATTGAAACTTGAGTTTACTTTTACAATAAATAAATCACAAGGGCAATCCTTAAAATGTACTGGAGTTTTACTAGAATAACCATGATTTTTCACACGGTCAATTGTATGTAGCATGTTCACGGGGAGGAGATCCTAAAAATTTATATATATATACAGTCCAAATGGAAAAACAAAAAATATTGTATACCAGCAAGCTTTATTATAATATAATCATGTACGAGTTCCTATCATAGATATTAATTATTTATAGATGTTTACTATATATATTAGTAGTATATTAATTTATCTTTTGTAAAAAAGATATTGTATTTTAAAAAAAAGTATTGTATTACTTATTATCATTTATCGATAAATATTTTTAGATTTCATTAGTGTTATGGAATTCAAATCAAATAGACAATTTTGATGGTGATAGAAATGACGTAATAGTTTTAAAAAATATCAAAGTTTCTGATTATTATGGAATAAAGAGTTTAAATTTACATTTTACCACAAAAATTCTAATAAATCCTAATTTAGATGATGTAAAAAAGTAAATAAGAATGCAAATTGATATATTTTGTAATTTGTTTGTAAATTAATATATTAATAATTTATTTTTAATCACAGCCTATCACAGTGGTATATTTTGAATGGAACAAAAAAAAATTACTCACTAGTCAGAGAACAAATTATAAAAGAATATAAATTTATGAAAATTCATACAATTTTTAATAAAGTGAAAAACACCATCATTGGTAAAATTAATTGATATAGATAAGTTTGGAAAAAATTATTATAGTTATTATAAAACTTGTTCTACAGATATTATTGCAATAATTAATGACCTTAAAGAACCAACAGAAATATCTGCTTCAAATGGTGAAACATATAAAAAACAAGAAATCATTTTGATTGACGAAGGATTAAAAACAATATTAATTTTGTATATATTAAGCAATAGTCCACTTTTAAAAACATAAATAGAAATGATAATAACAGACAATAATTACAATATAAGATATAAGTAGGTATTATTAATTATTAATTTAGAAATTATATGCAGATTGTACTAAATTTGTGGAATGAAAATATTAATAATTTTGAAGGGAAAAAGAATGATATTATAGCCATCAGTAATGCCAAAATTGGTGAGTATAAAACCCAGAAAACTTTGGTTTTAACAAGTGCATCACAAATAATAATAAATCCCAACTTTCCTGAGGCGAATAGGTAAATAATTGGTAGTTCTTAATAAAATTAGGAAATAAATATTAATATAATTTCTTTAGATTGAAAGAAGAATTTAGACATATTGAAAAAAAGGACATTGAAAATGTTAAGTTCACCAAAATAAACTTAATTCAAAATCTAGAAGATCAAATATTTATAAGTATGAAATTATAAAATATACCAGGTGATTCCTTTATCATGAAACACTCATTATTTCACTTTATAAAACAATTATCAAACCAAAATTTTCCAAAAAAAAAAAATTAATCACTTACAGATATAAACGCTGTTATTGATGCTGTGGGTGAAGTAGATAATGTATTTTCTAAAAATGGCCAAATATACGATAAAAAAGAAATAGTCCTAATCGATGATAGTAATGAAAAGGTATTTTTTTTTTTTTAAAAGTTTAACAGATAACTTTAACATTATGGAATGAATTTGCGACTAATTTCATGGGTAAACTAAATACCAAAATAACCTTACGGAATACCAAAATTAGTGACTACAAAAATCAAAGATATTTAACATTGAATCGACAATCAATAGTTTCCTATGACGTAGACAAAACAACTAACATAGAGTAAGAAACAAAATATTATGTATTACAAGATCGTAAAAATAAATAATAAATGATTTTGTTTCTACACAAATGTAAACGATTTATTTTCCAGATTTGAAGAATGGTTTTATAGAAAATATAATAAAGGATGTTTATTTGATGATGTGAATGAACATGATATGCCATAACATGATATTATACTTCTGGAAAAAAAATATATATTTAATAAAAAACTTTTCAATTTTCTATTGTTATCCCATTGTTATTTTCTAATATTAATTATTGTCCATCCTAATATCATATTTATCCTATTATACCCATATTATATATTTATCTAGGTTAATAGTTAATTATTTAAAACTGACTTCTAGAGAAAAAATTCCCCCGGCGAAGCCGGGTAACACCTGCTAGTATTTTATAAAATTATAAAGGTGTAGGTACCAACCAGGTATCTATACCTACATTGTTTTATTTATATTAACTTATATACATTTAACACAAAATATTTCTAACTAATAATTAATGCCATGTCTATGAGATTGGACTATAGTTATAGTAAGTTATGATAGGTAATAATTGTACCTACTACCTAAAGAGAAAATAAAATTACCTAGGTAAAAACTTATTTTTAAAGAAAATCATTAGCCAAACCGACGTCTGACACTGAGACTACCTATTATACAGGTATACAATCTAATGCTTATATAAATTATAATATTTATAGTTAAATAAGTACTTAAATATGGTTTGCCACTTTAAAAAAAGTCTTGAGGATACGAGTATACGACACCTAAATCCTTCCCCCCTCTTAATTACACCGTTGTTGGTAAACGATATTGTACCATGGCTAATTTTTCATGTTTTCAATGATATTGAATTAAATATTATCGACATCATTAGGTAGGTACCTAATATACAGTATTATAAATTACACTGAAAGAAAAACCATTAGTATTATTAACAAGATGGTATTGTTAGCGGTTGACAATCCTTAAATTATCACCTCGACAACATTCTTTCACCGTAACAAAAATAATTGTTCAATTAATAACAATATTATCAAAATTATTAATTTAATATTTCGTCGTTGACACGAAAAAATCTCCCATGTGCTTAAAACTAATTTTCCAGGAGAGACGAAAAACGTTTTAAAAAATCACGAATCATCAATGATTAATGAAAATACATTTAAAAAACGTAATAAAATATACATTTTTATTCTGCAAAAAATTGAAGTAAAAAACTTAATATATATGTATTTATTTAACAAATTGTCAATATTTCATCACATAGGAGGTTATGTTAATTAATCTTTTTTGCCAAACAGTACATAGGAGGTTATGTTTTTTTGCCAAACAGTAAATAGGAGGTTATTTGAATAATAGTTGGTGCCAGAGAAATACTAATAAGACTTATTTTGAACGATTTTATTAAAAAAACTAAGTTGTGTTATCTAAGAAATAAATATTTATTAACAAATTATAATAAACTTGTATAAAATACTTAACATAATAAAACAAAATAACTTTAAAATTCATATTTATAATATTATCAATGTACTAACAAAACATAATTGTTAACTTTTATAAGATATAACTAATTATAAAATATAAAACATTACAACAAAAAAACAATAAAAAATAGTTAACCACTTTTTCAGTCCTGGTAATAAAATAAATAACAAATTATAGTTACTCAAAATACTTAAAATATACTTTTTAGAATTATAACAAATAAGGTAAAAGTTAAAAATAATAATGTAATAGTAACCAGTCTTTGGATTTCTTATTTTCTTATCATAGTTGAAAAAAAAAACATAGTTTCTCACTTTTCTGTTTTATAGGTAACTAATTATAGAAAATTATGATACAAAATAAAAAATAGTTATCACTTTTTCAGTCATCATAATAAAATAAAATTTATTATTGTCATATTAACTTTATATTTAAGTATATTTATTGAAGTCTTATATTTTATTATTTTTTGGATCTTTAGAATGTGGCAAATTGTCATAGAAAGGGTGATACTCTTTATCTATGACTGGCTTTAATGATTGCAAATCCTTAAATTTTGTATCAGAGATGGGCAATGGTGCATTGTACAAATTTGTTAGTGTTTGAGATTCAATTACTGTTCTTCTAGTTATTTTAACTTTTTTTTGTTCTGGTAATTTTGTCCAACCATCTTCAAACTCAGTTTTGTATAGTATTTCTCCTTCATGAGTGTACTGAATTTTACAAATATCAGTCACAACTTTATCCCCTGTTTTTTTTCCTGGACGCAATGAATTTAAAGAGCAAACATCATCATAATTTTTAAAAAATGAGTAGTCTAAAACGTTGATTTTATATGGTGTATAATGTAATGATATCATTATCAATTGATATTAATATTAAATTGTTATTATCATTTATGAACATGGAAAAATCTCCCATGTGCATATTTCATACACGACACTACATCTACTCTGCATGCCAATATCTCCAATGTAATTTTGACCAAATTTTTAATCACATAGGAGGTATTTCATAAACGATTTATGGTTGGTAACACATAGGAGGAATTGTATATTATTTTTCATTAATTCTACGATGGAGATAGCACATAGGAGTTTTTATCAAAATGACCGCCTATTTTTTCTGAATCCAGGGATACCAATATCTCAAAATCGAAAATTTGGCACATAGGAGGTTTTTTCGTGTCAACGACGATTTATTAAATTAACAATGTACTGTTAAAACAACAATTAAAATCTGATAAAAATTAAATGTATGAATTAAGGTTTCGAGTCTATTAATAAACTATATATAGTCTGGTTTTTTCACAAGCAACAACAATCTTTTCATCGTGACAATAAATTGTTAACATAACAATATTAATATAAAACCAGATTATACATTGCAGCGGTGCGCGTGGATAGCTACAGAAGAATAATTGTTATTATTTGGTCGTTGCAACTTGCGTATACCTACTTATTTTTGTGCAGTTATTATATTGTTTATATTAGTTTTCAAGTTGTTAGTGCAGTGAACATATTATATAAACTTTCAAACCATAAGGTAAGTACCTAAGTATTTAAATTATATGAAATAAAATGATTTGTTATATGTGTCAAGCAAATATTCACAATTGGAAAGCATTGGTTACTCATTTTAAAATTTTTCATTTTCTTAAATCTGATAGTACTTATAAATGTGTCGAAGAAAACTGTACTCAAACATTTCAGTGTTTAGGGTCTTTTAAAAGACATATGAGTATTAAACATACTTCTCATGAAATAGAACCTAACAACTCATCACACTTTGAATCTCCGTCATTACCTTTAGATACAAGTATCATTGAACCTCCTTTCTTGCAGTACCAAGTTGCAAGTACTACCCCTATGGTCGAAGAACAATTTATTATTGATGTAGCTATTAATTCTCTTTATAAATCTGCTGTAGAATTTATTGTTGGTTTACACAATAATAATAATTTTACCAAAAAAGATGTCAACAATATTCAATCTGGTATAATACAAAGTTTACTGACACCAATGGTCTCTATACTGAAAAATGTTGTTAAAACTGAAGTTAAAGAACCATTATCTTTGTCAAAATTTGATAATATTCTAACAGCTATGTCCAACCCTTTTCAATTTTGTACTTCAGAATACATTTTGTTAAAATGGTTAGCTGCAAATGATCTTATATCTGTAGTAAAACAATTTACTATTCATAATGAAATTTGTCCTGTTCAACACCTGGGTGAGACTGTGTATGATGAAAAACAAACAAAGGGTGCTCTATTACCATTAAAACTCCAGTTTAAAAAATATTTTGAGCATTCTGACAATTTTAAAAATCAATTAAATAGACTTAAAAGATTACAACTGAGTAATGACAATAACATAACTAATTTTGTACAAGGTAAACTTTGGAAACAGAAAATGTCTCATCATAGTAGTGACAAAATACTAATTCCATATTTTCTTTATATTGATGACGCTGAAATCAATAATCCCTTAGGTTCACATGCTATGCACCAACAAATTTCAGCAATTTATTACAGCTTTCCTCTTGCAGAGAATAGTTCAAAGCTATCAAATATTTTTTTAGCCGCTCTTATTAAATCTTTAGACTTAAAAGAATTTGGAAATGATCTCTGTTTGCAAACTTTAATTTGTGAAATTAACTTGTTAGAAAATGATGGCTTGGATATAGTTACTGAATGTGGTAGTTTCCATGTTCACTTTATTCTAGGTATAGTACTTGGTGATAATTTAGGTATGAATAGTATTTTAGAATTTAGTAAGTCTTTTTCTGCGAATTACTTTTGTCGTTTTTGTAAAGTCGATAAATTAAGGTCAAAACAAATGTGTGAAGAAGACATTAGTTGTATGCGAAATATTGATAATTATAATATAGACATTGATATCCAAAACTTTTCTGAAACAGGAATTTACAAAGAATCAATATTAAATCAAATCCAAAGTTTTCATGTGACTCAAAATTTTTGTGTGGATACTATGCATGATTTGTATGAGGGTGTTTGTCATTATGATATGTGTCATATAATTAAATATTTTATCAACACAGCTAAACTATTTACTTTAGAAACATTGAATAAACGAAAATCAAATTTTAACTATGGCCCAATAGAGTTTGGTAATATTTCTCCCGAAATTTCAATTAATCATTTGAATAATTGTCGTTTGAAGATGTCTGCTAGGGAAGTAATGACATTTATACATTTTTTTCCTCTTATGGTAGGAGATTTAGTGCCAGAAAATGATGAAGTTTGGTCATTTTTTTTAATATTACTCAAAATTGTTGATATTTTGTTATCATACACTTTTAATGCAGATGCAATTAGTTATCTTAAACAATTAATATCAAAACATAACAATCAATATAATCTACTTTTTAATGACACCCTAAAACCAAAACATCATTTCTTAGTTCATTACCCAACTGTTATAGAATATTCAGGTCCTCCTCGATTGTATTGGTGTTTTCGATTTGAGGGAAAACATAAAGAAATGAAAATGTATGCCAGATCAACAACATCCCGAAAAAATATTACCTTAACACTAGCTAATAAATTTCAATTAAAATTTGCCCATCTGTTATTACAACCCACATTGTTAAAAATTATATCAAAAGAAAAACATAAAATACAAACTAAACATATAGAGTTGATTAGTAAGACATTGAATTTATCTCCATCTAAGTATTCTTGTTACAATTACTTAGAGTTTAATGGGATTGTTTTTAAAGAAGGTTATTATTTAAGCAAATTTTTAAATGAAATAAAACTGTTTAAAATAACTGAAATAATTGTAATTGAAAATAATGATGATACAGTTTTAATTTTAGGGGAACAAATATTGTTTGAAAAATTTGATCCTCATTATGAATCCTTTGTAATAAATGAAAATACAAATGAACTAAGTAATTTTTCTATTTATAGCACATATGATTTCAGTGGCCCACCCATAAATATTACAAATGTGGCAAATGGTAAAAAAATGCTTAGATTAAAAGAGTTTTATTAAAATTATTTTAATTAGGTACCAAAAATGTATATATCAAACCCTTAAGATTTATAATTTTGTAATGTATTTTTAATTTTTATTTAAGAATTTATTGTAATTAGATAGTAATATAATAGTACCTATGTAGTATTCATTTTCAGAAATAATGGCACACAGTAGTAATGATTTTGACCCATCTATAGAAGATTTTACCACAGAATCAATTAGTTTTGTAAGTTAATTTACTTTTTACACTTAATTTAAACATTTAAGTACTTAAATTTTACTCATTTATTATAGGATGTAAGTGATGTAACTAATATTCAACAGACAATTGATTATTTTCAAAGTAATGACAATTTGATAAGTGTTGATATTCCAGTAGTTGAAGGATATAAATACCCTACTGAGGATTTGATAATATTAAAAAATTTATTGGATAAATGGAATATGGGGTGTGTTTATCAAACGTGCATTGGTAAGGATTAACATAATTAAGTATTTAATCCTCTATTTTTTTCTCTACCTTTATTCAATTATCACTTATTGTTTAGATAATTTAATTGATTTAAAAGTTCTGACTTACATGAAGGCAGAGGATGTTTATAAGTTGCTAGAAAAATTTCCATTAGGAATCTACATTTTATTTCGCCATGAGCTTGAAGAATGGCAAAAAGATGGGAATTATATTTCTTTAAAGAATAATTCAAACCAAGGGATACAAAATGTACAACTAACATCAGAAAAATCATCATCAATGCAGTCAAAATTACCTTGTAAAACAAAGATAGATGAAATATTGAATTCCTCTCCACAGGGTCATTTAATACTAGAGTATTATAAGCAAAATAACAAATTTAATGATGGGATAAGGACTACATTAGTAGACATTGTAATTGGATATATTATTAGCAATAATATACCAATGTCAGTTAATGTAGCAGAATCGTTGTCGGATCAAATTGTTGCCATGTTCTCCACAGAAATAAAGGTAAAAAAGTAGTTATGTTTAACAATATATGATTTATATATATTTACAATATATCTGTATAATGTAGGTATTTATTATTTATAGAATTATTGAGATTATTTGATTAATTAAATTGAAAAAAGGTAATATGGTAACATTATAATAATTTATACATTTTAAATTGCTATACATATTTTATTTAAATTAAATTAATTATATCTAATTATTTTATCTGAATCATTTTTCATATGAAAAACAATCATGAACCTTACATTAGTATTTTAATAATTAACTTACTAAAAATTAATTGTCACTAATTTTAAAATTGAAAAAATGCAACCCATACAGTTTATATATTGAAAAACAATGGATGTCATAATGAGACATTAGTTAGATCAGACATTAGTCAACAAATATATCATTTCCTTTGATGTACTGAAATTAAATAATTGTAATTAATCTATCACTTTTAGGATGTGTATTTTTTGAAAGTGGGATCAAATAAAAATCCTAAGGGAAAGCTTTACGCCAAGTTCTATAATGCCATGAGAACTCTAAAAAATAATGGGCTAGTTTCCCCTGCAGTCAAAACCGTTAAAATCGTGCAAGAAATCAATAAATCAAGATATGGAAACATTTGGACGGAAAGAGATTTTAGTAATAAAGTTACTTTTTTATATTTTTATATAATTTACATTTTAATGACTATTGTTTTCAGCATCAGAAAAAAACATAGATTCAATATTAGATGTTTTAAAATATAACACAACTTCATATCCTGATTTAGAGGAGAATTGGAAATCAACGGTTAATTACCGGTTAAATGATATAAAAAAATCAACATCGACAGAAGAGATTTTAAAAAATTGGAAACAGTATTTGATTCCATATGGACACAAACTAGTAAGTAATAAGTATATTATAAATAAAATACTATAAATTATAATTATAAATATTGATAGATGAATACCTAACAAAATTATGCATAATATATAGCTACCTAAATATTTTGAAATGTTATAATTTAAACATGCAGAGTACTGAATAAAACATTTATATTTTATACTAAATTTTCATAATCTTTTTATAATGCTGTCAGAATTAAAGTGTAGACTTAAAATATGTTGCATTTACTAGTAGTAGTTGTACTAGTAGTAAATAATCATACCTACTGAGTATGGACAGTATATAAATAAAAATTCTATAAATAAAACTTCATATTCAAACCCTGTTTCAGATCGACATTGACTATAGTGCCCTATTTCCTGATCAAAATGTTTACATTGAATTTGAAAAAAAATCTGATAAAATTTACAACATTCTAGGGGAAAAAGTAAAAGATTCCAGCTGTCTTAAAATATTAGACCAAATAAAAACTGGCAACAATTTAAATGAAAGTAAGTACAAGAAGTTTATTTTAATTTTATTATTGTAAAGTGAGAGCGAGAGAAGAAACAAAAAGTAAATTTTGGGTTGGTAGGCGATAGTAGGGAATTTCATACACCAATAAAAAAACTACATTTAATACTCAGCTACCTACTATTAAAAGAATAAATAAATAAATTCTACATTTATGTTTAAAAACTAATGTTTATGTTTAATAGATGTAAAGAATGCTGCTTTGATGTATTTGTTACATGGAATGTTTGCACCAACATCTAAAAAGGTGACAAAAGATGACAAAGGTAGAAAAAACCTTATTAAGTTCTCTATAAAAGATTCACAAGAAAGTTGTATTATGTTTGGGGAATCTGTGGAAAATATGGAATCTCACCTCGAAAAACTTAAAAAACAGGGTAATCCTATTCAACCGTTTATTCTTGTTATTGGAACCGTTTTTAATATTAAAGAAATATTAGTTTATTTTGATTGTGTAAAGTATAAGGTACATTCAATTTTAAGAGCAATTGAAGTTTGTTACAAAATATTTCAATTATTCAATCTACAATATCCTTCAGCATCATTAGTTGTATGGTTGTTTATTCAGAAATATTTTTTTAATTACTCTTCAATTTATGATATACCTGACCCTAAACTAACACAAATATTATCTGAATTAAATTAACATTTATTGAATATGTATCTAAACTAACTTATGTTTGATTATTTTTAATAAAAAAACATTTATATGTAAAAGGAATGTTGATTATTTTATTTTTCATCTTTTTATATTTAATATTTTGTATCTTTGTTGTATTTATAAGAAATTATAATGAAATTATTACTACTCAAATACTTTAATTGTATAGTATTTCAAATACTAGGTACTCAAATACTTAAAAAAAGTATTTGGAATACTTCTCAAATACTTTTGGTTTTTAAAGTAGGTTTCTAATTAACGCAGGTAATATAGACATTAAGCCTGGGCATTAAGGAGTTAAAAAGTTAAAGTAAAGTTAATTTTAACTTTTTAACATAACTCTTTAAAATTTAATTTTCATTAACTAATTTTTACTTAACTGAAATTAAATTTAACTGATTTTTAATGATATAAACTTAATAAATAACGAGTTACTTTTAATCAAATCCAAATATAGTTTTTATTATTTTAAACCATATATAGCTGGCTTTTTATGTATAAAAAAAAAATTTAAAAATATTAATTCTAAGTTGATTAGGTAATTGTAAGTTTTCATATAACTTTTAACTTAACTGAGTTAAAAAAAAATTAAGGTAACTTAAACTATTAACTTTGAACTTTTTAAAATGTTTTGTATCAACCTAACTCAGACAAACAAAGTAAGTATGTAAAAACATTTTTGTTCACCTCCCTACCGAGGGGGTGGGGCTTATCGTCTCATTTAGTATTGACAATATGCATTGTTATATTGATAATTAGTTTATCAATAATTATAAATAGAAAATTATCATAACAACAGTAGAATATCCTGTTGATTTGATAAGAATCTTGTCAAAAAGCAACAAGATTATATTGTCAAACAAATAAGAATTATTGTCAATATAACTAGAATAATTTTTAATTATCATCTTATCATAATTACAATTTCACATAGGTTGGTTTGACAAAAATCTTGTCGGCTAAATAGCAACAAGATAATTGTCAAACCAACCTAGTTTTTTTTTAATATGATCAGGATTTTTCTTTCAGTGTAATTGACCGATCGGCGACCACCGACCGTTTTTATTTTTAACCACCAGTCTTAATAATTGATGTTCTAAAATTACAATTTATAATATAACTAGCTCTCCGAGCGTCGCTGGGGGATACCCCCAGACCCCCAGGTGTCGGTCATGAGTGTTTTCGATTTCGGAAGCTGCAGTGGTCTGTTGGTCTGGTCATCAGTCTCAAGCTGGTGGGTGTGTGATAAGGAACTCTGATAAGGTTAGGACCACCGTGGTTCGACGTGGTAGCCGGGTAAGCAACAACGTTCGACGACAACGTTCTTTACTGCCGCCGGAAATTCAAAATTCCGTAAAAAAAAAATAAATCGTCGTTGTATTTTTGTGGGTGTCTAGCAGGTCAGTCACCTCGAATTACGTTCGCCGTAGTAATAGTATTTGGGGTCTAGCGGGTCAGTCACCTTCCTCGACTTTGGTCGTAGTCACCCTGGAAGGCAATCC